TGAAGCTGAATCAATTGTGTTTTTTAGAACACACGTACACACAATCCAAATTGGAAAAAACAACAACATTCTGGCAATTTTCTCTTAGTCAAAACTTGGAAACAAAACGTGGTACTTTATTGCTTTCCTTTTTAAAATGTGCATGCCTAGATTTCCTCTTATAAAACATATGAGAATAAGAGATTGATTACTTTAGGGATTCAAAATCTAGTACCAATTTATCCATAAGCAATGCATAGCTAATTAAGTTCATCATGAAGAGCTGCATAGTCATCCTCTCCACAATGGCCGTGGTTTATAGCCTTGTAATTCACAGTAAGGCAATGCAATGTTTTACTTGGTGTTCATGCCCAAAGAAAACCCCAAAAGGAACTAAGATTTCTGGTCTAGACAGGACAGAAAACATACAACAGTTCTCTAGGCTCAGGATAAAAGGAATCAGAAAGACCCTTGGTGATGTAGGTAATAATTATAGCAACAACAGCAGCTAACCCTATGTGGGACCGACCATGTGTCAGATGCTTTATGTACTCTGTCTCTTCTAATTCCAAGGGTATCCTGTGGTTTGGATCCTATTTGGGTAAGATATATGCTCAGTGTCACATGCTAGTAAGAGGTATAGCCAAAATTTAAGTGTATGGCTCCCTGTCCCCGAAGCCTATGGTTGTCACCATTACACTATGTCCTAACTGCTCTCTAGAAGTTAAGACGCACAGAAGCAAATTAGCTTAATTAGGATCTTCCAGAGAGTTCAAAGTAAAGCCAGACTGGAAATTCAGTCTCCACATTTTCTTGTTAAGAGCATTTCTTAACAGTCATACTGCTTCCGTTTATGGAAGCCCCTCCTCCCCAAAGGCTTTGAACAAAAGATAGTATTATGTACTAAATATGCTGCCAGATCTCAACAACTGACCTAATTATATTGTAAGTTGATATTAAACTAAACATTATATTCATTCTGCAATGTTTCTTGGTGAATAGGAATTATTCTCGGTCCTAAAAACATAATAATGAGCAAGATATTAATTGGCATTAATCCTTCACCTTCACTTGTTTGTACAAATACTGTTTCCTGACTTCTATTTACCATGATTTATGTTATTTTCAGTGAACCCTTATTTTGAACTATCGCATTTATTGATTCATTCAGTGCATATCTATTGAATGCCTTGTAATTGCCTGTCACTGTGCTGAGCACAGGAGATACCATGGTGAAAACACACAGTCACTGACCTCAAGAAACTTGTGATGTATTTGCAGAGGCAAACAAGTGAAGAGGTGATGCAGTGTAAAGCATTATGTGCCATTGCAGTACCGGGTGCTGTGGCAGGGCACAGGAAGGATACCCATAGTTTAGAGATCATCTAAACTATGACTTAAGTGACAGTAGTTGTAATGCAAGAAAAGAGGGAAGGGAAGAGGACTCCAGGAAAAAGAAATCACATTTCCCAAGGAAACCATGAAAAACAGAGGAAAAATCCAGTAGCTCATTTCTACATTAATTAAGCATCTATTTACCATATTTTATTGAAAATTGTAACACTTTATTTTTTTTCTTAGCCTACTATCATTCACATAGAATGTTCAATACATTTTTTCACATGAATAAATGAATGAAGGTTATCACATGTTGTGCTTAATGCCTGGTCTCTTCTTCACTGGCCTCTTTTGAGAGACAACACTGGCAATCTCCATCCATAGCTTTGCTTTTCTTGATAATGTTTTGATTTTAAAAAAATGAAGCACAGGAATCCACAGATCGACAGCAGTGCTGTGTAAACCCTTGAGGCTCACAACATTGTGTTTAATTCAACCTCTTTGGGGATAATGGGAGTGAGAGACAATGATGCTCTAGAATCGTGTTGTCTGATATGGACGTCATCAGACACACGTGGCTATTTCAATTTATATTAATCAAAATTAAATTAAATTAAGATGTCAGCTTCTCAGTTACACTAGCCATATTTTTATGTGCCTCATAGCCACATGCTATTGTGAATGGCGCAGAGTAACATTTTCATCATTGCAAAACGTTCTATTCAACAGCCCTACTCTAGAAGCTAGATTGTAAGCTTTACTTCACTATTGATAATTATTTCAGGGTAGTGCTGATGAAAGAATAGGTGCTCAATACAAAGTTATTGATATTTTTAGTGTAGCCTTATTCCCTTTTAGTAGCAAAGTTTTCTTTGTGAAAGTAAAAACCAAGATTTACATAAATCATTTAACATATTTCATGTAGCAATCAAGGTAAAATATGATTAATGAGCTTACAGTAACTTTTCTGAATCTGGAATACCAGAAAATTTCCCAGCTGTTAGTGTAGCATGGCTACTTAGGCAAGATTGACAGAGAATCTCAAAGGTGACAAATTTCAATCCCATGACCCCTCATGTAGCATTGCCCTCTTTATGGCGGAGGGGCTAATGAGTAGTACCACTGCCAAGAGAGCATAAAGCAAAAGGAGAAGGAGATGCCAAGGCCTTGCAGAATCTACTTTGAATAATGAAGAATTAAATATCATTCATCTTAAACTGATTTTCCAGACGCAGTGCCCAGAAGCAAACAAGTAACTTTATATGCTTGATATCAGAGTCTAAAAGAGTTTCAGAGGAGACGTTTGGCACCTGCATCTGAGTTTAACACACTTTATGAAGAGTCCCTCCCCACCCATTAGGATGTGTATAATTAGTTTAAATATGTGCACAACACTGGTTTATGTGCTTATAGCTGCTCCAGCTCAACAATATCCAAATGGTCATCAGTTTGTTTGCTTATTTATTTACCACATTCTAAAAATAATGAAAGATAGTCAAGAGTAGCTGATGGAAGGAGCCTAACATGCCTAGTTTTTTGTAACACAAAAGACACATTTTATGTCATGTTAAGTTTGCTGCATATGATCTGATTGGTCTTTTTCCCCCCTCAGTGTTAGCAACCATAACTCTATCTGATAGTGCTAGAAATCGTGGGCAAATGTGACTGCTACTATTCTACAAAGGAATTGGAGAGAAAAGAGGAAATGAAATTTTTGACTGCCCTCTATCTGAAACCATTGTATGATTAGCACAGCTGTTGAAATGAACTATTAAAATGGTAGGCAGGGAAAGGGCATGAACTGAGACTTTAAAGACAAATAATAAATGTTTGGAAAAATACTAAGCCTTATGTTTACCAAAGAACAAAATTTAAACAACTGCAAATGAGCTGATATATTTACCTCTCATAGTAGCAGAGTCTATCATAAAGTGAGAAAACCTAATTCTGGTGCAGGTGTAATAAAGACCTTCTTACACACTTGGTATTGAATTTGTAATATGGCACAATTATTCAGGAAAACAGTTGAACAGGATGTATTAAATGTCTTTAATTATCCTCTTAGATATATTAATTTCACCTCTCAAAATATCAGAAGTAATCTGTGAAATCAAGAAAGTCATATTGAAAAGACATTCTTTGAAGTGTTTGCAGCCAAATTTAAGCAACTTAAAACTGAGGAATGATTAAGCAAATCACACTAAATGTAGAGTCATTAAAAATAAGTTAACATGGAATTTTAATAACATTGTAAATGCTTATATTTAATTTAAGGGGGGAAGTATTACATAATTGTATATTAGACACAAACGCAATTATATAAATATTATATAAGAAGTATTCAAAATATTTTAGCACTTGTTTCCTCTGAATAAAATTTTATCCTTTATAATTCTCTTATACAAAGAATAAGTATAAACTTTATATTTGTCAAAATTAGATACTAATTCTGACTGACCCATAAATACTAAGTTACACTGCATATAATTTCACTAGATCAGATCTATAAACAGAATTTAATTGGAGAAAACTGAGATGGAGAAGTAGTGGGTGAGGTCAGACCTCAAGGCACTAAGACATAGACAGATGCTTATGACATCACAAACTAGAAGACAGGAAGCAGCAATAGCCTGGATCTTTAGCCTCCCACTGGTTCAGAGCAGACTTTCTAGGGAATAAAAGAGCTTCATGTGTTGTTCACAAAGTATTTTCAATGTGAAGTGGCTGAAGAGAGCATGGGATCTAGAACTATGGGCTGCAGCAACTACTAGTGATATTTAATTTTTTTCTAAATTGAAAACTTATTATATACACACACCCCACCCATAACAGTAACACACACCATACCTTGCGCAGTTTTTAGAGGGATTGGAAGAGCTTGTGTCTGTAAATACCATGATGCCTGATACAAAATGTATTTAATAAAAGTAGCTATCAGCTTGGTTCCCAAGGGAGTAGAGAAATCACTGGTTGCAGGACAGAAAAATAATCAGCAATCAGTAATCGGCAGCAAAGTCCCAAGAATCATAACACAGTAATGGGGAGTTCGTGATGAGCAATATTCAGAAATCCAAACAGGCAGGCAGCACCAGGGAGTTCAATCAATGAGTGGTCTTAGCTAAAAAGATGAATCTGAAGTCTCTGATATTTTTAATATTTGTAAATATTAAAAATTAAAATCCTAACATTCTTGTAACTAGGGATTTGAGCTTAAAAAATAACCTATATTGCCTAAGTTATTCAAAGTGCAAAGTTCAGTGGCACCCCATGTCTTGCTATGTATAGAGTAAGCTCGTTAGCCTGAGACTTATGGGTTTGTACAGCCTGGTCCAATCTGCCTTCCAGTCGTTATTTCCTATAACATTATGTACCTACCCTATCCTTCAGACACACACACACTCAATCACTTGCTATTTGCATGTTCCTTTGTATGCTCCTTTGCTCCTGTTTATATTCCTTCTGCTCACTATTTGTTGATTGAACAACCAAATGAATGAATTTATAGATACACTGTCAGTATCAAATTATCCAATGTTTTGTTTACCCTTTAAAAATAATCATAGGATTCTTTTTGATTCTCTCCTGATGATGTACAGATTGATCCCTGATGACTGTTGCTTGTTCATATGTTTCTTGAAATGAATCTGTGAGCTTCAAAACTGACGTGATCCTTTGGCTTGCAGCGGCAGCAGCGGCAGACATGGCTTACCACCACATCAGACCTCCCATTGGCTATTCGATTCCCAAGCCCATCTCATCTCTGCTGATGCGAGGGTGGAATGCATGTCCTGAAGTGAGTCATTTCTATTTCCTCCTAGAAAATGTGTTATGGTCAAAATCTGTCACAAATAGTGTAACACCGAAGTCTTCTTTCAGGGTGTATTTTCAGGCTGTGGAGGCAGGAAGACTGATCTGCCTTCTGCTCCTTCATCACTAATTGCCTCAAGAAGTCTGAGTATCTCATATTTCTTTGCTGCTGCTCTCTGATTTTGAAATGTTTCTCACAGCTGATTAGTAAAAGAAAAACCAGGGGATGACAGATGACTCACACTCTCATCTCAGCTGCAATTTTATTAACTACGCTTCAGCCACATTTAGTCATTTTCTGGAAAAAGACAAAAACAACAACAACAAAAACACAAGTTTAGCCCGAGATGCAAGCCTTGGGGCAGAGGCCCCGGGACAAGAGGGCCCTACTGCACTGGGTCCAGAAGGAGGCAGCAGACTGGTCCTCGTCCTTCTCTGAGTGGCTGTGATAAAGTGGTTAAGAGCATAGATTTAGAGTTCAAATGAAGGGATTGATATTATGGAAGGAATAAGTAAAATACGATATGTAACCATTTTAAAATATCATCATTGATCTAAGAGAGTAGCAGGAAATAGTCACATAATCCCAGAATGAAATTGCAGACCATCTGTCTGCAGGAAAGGATTCTTCTTTGTACCAGGCAGACTAATGTCTACTTTGTCCTCAGAGACTGACAAAGGAGGAGATTCCATAACTTCTCTCCTGAGAGCACAGTTTAGTCCAGTGTCTAAGAGTCCCTCTGACAGTCGGTTTTGTTGTCGATTGAATTCCTTGTGTCTAGACGTCAGTCCACATTGATTCTTCTGAGTGGAGAGAATTAGTTCACATTCTTCACACTGGAGCTCCTTATACAGAAAGGCCTAACAGCCCTTATTCATCCAGCTCCGACCACCCTAGTTATTGCTGTCTTTTTCTTATAGGTCTTTGTTTCTGATCCTTCCCAGGCACTTTATCTCTCTTTGACAAAGAAAGGAGAAGAAAAAGGGAGGGAGGCTATTGTTATCCCAGGAAGCATCTCACCACAGGAGAAATAGAAGAAGCCCCAGTCCAGATGTTAGGAAGGAGAAGGCAACTTTCCTATTCATTTTCAAAAGGCAAAACCCAGACCAAGTCCATACGCAATCCCACAAGTGCACAGAGAACTCTTATGAAGAAAAATGAAGACTATTATGGGACATGAATTGAGTATCTCAGAAGAAATAACTTCTACTCCTGACCACTTAATCTGACAGATTACACATTTATTTGTGTAGAATCTTTTCTCACTACCAGAATGTTAGCTTCATAAAATCAGGGACTTGTTTTTGTGTGTTACTTTTGTTTGCTGTTATAATCTCAGCACCCAGAACCATACCTAGTAGATGCTCAAAAACATTTGTTGAGTAAATGAATGAATATCACTATTGCTTATCAGTGCCTCCAATCATCTCATCTGTACTTTGATGTCCAGAAAATCATGTCTTAAAAATTACATGACTTAAGATAGTTTGGGATAAGCTTTCCTTGTCTCTCCATATGAACTTTAGATATATTTTCTAGAAATAAATATGCCAGATACCTACTCCAGAATTTCCTTCTGTATGTGGGATATGAGCTCTCCCAAGGTATAACACAAAATAACAGTCCAGGGAATCCCTTTTGCTTTTATGAATTGACTTTTCATGATTATAGGTAAGGGACATATGAAAGTTTTAATTTGGGGATAAAAGCCAGTCATTGGAAGCTTCTAAAAGTATTTTGGGTGCCTAAGTAACAGACTGGGAAATGATAAAGAGAACCAGAATAGGGCCAAAAGAGGGAATATATTATACACACTAACACACACATATACACTAAGAAGCCAAAAATCAAGTACTTAGTGGAAATGTTTTATTGCTAAGTAGTGAAGACTTTCAAACATAGGTCTGGGCTCTGGGGATGAGGTTCAGGGAAGAGAATAAGGAGAAAGCAGAGTAGGAAATCAAAGCCACCAATTGGCAACATCTGGGCTTGTCACTCAGGTGGACTCTGGGTTGGTTATGGTATCCTCTTCAGCATTATGAAATTGATCTTCTTCTGTATGTGACATGCCTGAGTCATCATTACATGGCCCAGTACGGTCTTCACCATGTCAGTAGACTGTTAGTGAAGAAAAATGGAACAATGGGCTAGTTTTTGTTCTTTTCTCCAACAATCATTTATTGAGTCTCTACTGTATGCAGCCCCAGGAATAGGTGCTGGGGTTCCATGGAGATATGCTTTCAATGGAGTTTAAGGCCTAGCGGTCAAATGAAGATTAACCAGATAAGCATATGAATATTTTCTAAAGTACAAGCTAAGATAGAGGGAAAAAGATTAGATGAGAATACACACTAAAGAACACTAGCAGGAGAAACTAAGATGGCAGCATAGATAAACACCGGGAAATTGCTGCCTCCCACAACAATTGAAAAATACATCAAAAACACAAAACGGACATCATCCAGAACTACAGGAAGGCTGGCTGAGTGTAAATTCTACAACTAGAAGGAAAGAAAAGCACACTGAGAGCCAGAGGAGCTGCGGAAGTAAAGTGCAGA